CATCCAGTCTTGAAAATTTCTGTGATTTTTCCTCTTTGTGCGGAGAAAATTCCGTGAAAATTTCAAGGAATGATATTGATTTGGTCTACTTCAAAAAAATAAAATGTGAGCGTAGATTTTTAAACACCGCAAACGAGATACGTGGTTTGGTAGTTTCACTGTCGATGTATTTTGGACAATATTCATGCATATTTTTCTTCCAAATTTTCAGATATTTTAGATTAAATTGGGTACAATATTGTCTGAAAATTTTGGAAAATAATCTTCGCAGTTTTTCCGTTAAATTCGGTTTTTATCGGAGGAAACTTGGCAACGTTTAAAGGCTCATACGGCGTTCTTTATTAGCACGGCAGTAATCCTCTGAGCAGTGGTAATGAAATTTAACCGTTCGTGGATGTTGAGAGCGTGTCCTCTATCGCCGCGGACGTTACTTTGAAATGCAAAATACTAGCCGCTGAAAGTATCGCGTCCTTCTGCTGATTTTAGGGTTTCGTCGAAGTTGAAATTCAATATAGGCTTGATGGAAACTAATGGGATGCGCTCTCTGATTGCTTCGCGACTCGTCCCTACATCTGCGGAGGGAGGATAAGGTGAAAATTCCGGAGGAGAGGATAGGAAAGGGCAAGTCTAAAACGAGAAGATAGATGGAGAATAATCGAAAAGAAAGTAGGAACGGAGAATTATGAATATGGGGAGTGTGTAAAAAAAGAGGCGGTGGTGTTAAGTGAAGGAATGAACCTGGTATCCTTTTAACGCTTCGATACCCAAGAATTTTTTTGTAATCCTAAATCGGATCAAGTTGACCCGGTTTAAGTACATGTTTTTCCAACCTTCGAAATCAGTAATAACACGGTTACACACCTCAAAACCTATTAAAATCATTTGATCATTTGATGGAATTGAGGCGTGTAACTGTGTTATTTCTGATTTTGAAGGTTGGAAAGACATTTGGACCTATTTCTGCCAAACGAAACTATGTGCATGAAGATATGAGCTCTGAGACCCATCAGAATATATGCACAATAGGGCTCACGTCATAATGCACATAGTTCCGTTTGGCAGAAATACGTCCATTTATTGAAAGTTTTATCTTTTTCGAAACACACCAGGACTTTCTCCTGCTTCTATTCCTCATTGTATGCAGAACCAAACTTTCGCTGTGTGTGCGCATGCAATATGGAAATGGAGCAAAGGAAAGGACGCGCGATGACGGCGCAGAGATACAACTATTCTTTCTTGATGGATGTCCCTGTTGCATCTGCTTAATTGAAGGCGCTATGGCGCGAGGCGTGAACTCGCGAGGCTTTGCTTTATACTGCCAATGAAGTCTCTCTCAGATTCGGGAAAGAAGTTAAAAAACGAGATCGGAATACGTCTCTCCCATCTTTGGCTGTGTTGATACTCGATTTATTTCTCTTTTTTCCCCCAATTTGAAGTCTGATTCGTTTTTGTAGGATGGATTTGGAGATTTAAAGCTCGTATGCACCAACACCATACAACCCGCGAGGAACGTGTTTTTGGGAAGACTCGGGTCAGTTTGACCCGGCTTGGGCATCTAAGGGTTACAATTGGACGTATTTATGTTAAAAAGAACTATGTTGCATGCAATCCCTATGCATATAGTTCTTTTTAGCATAAATATGTTCAATCAATATTTATTTTTTGTCACATCAACTTTTATGAGAGGTTATGTGAGAGGCTTTTATGGTTTTATTTCTAAGTAACGTCAGTAGTAATAGTCGCCACTGGGAACCATCAAACTGTTTGACAGGTCCTATTGTTCTGTTTGACAGGTCATTATTGTTCGGTTTCTATTGTTAGGTAACTATTGTGTTGGTTCTATTGTTCGGTGCCTAATGTGATGGTTCTATTGAATAAAATATTGAAAGGAGAAGAATAGTGGTAAAGATTGATGGATGATCTTTTCTTTGTATGGATGAATTCTATTATACAACAAACAAAGGAGATCTTTTATAAGAAATCCAGGCTTTTATATTGGTATTTTTGAAACCTTTTGTTTGGAATATTTTGATTGTTGTGAATAAGAAAAGGATAGCATTGAAAAAACTACTCTTATTTCATAGGTATTGTTGTGTTCGAGGAAGAATAGGTCTCCTTTATAATAAATCCAGGCTTTTGTATCGGTATTTTTGAAACCTTTTGTTTGGAATATTTTGATTGTTGTGAATAAGAAAAGGATACCATTTTAAATACTGGTCTTATTTCATAGGTATTTGTGTTGTATGAATGAAAATAATGACGAAACCAAGGAAGTAAAAGAGGAACGCTCATGGGTTGATTGATTCCGAAATTGAATATTAAGAATTCTTTGTATGGTCGGATGAGTTAAAATATTACTGTCGAGAGACCCAAGCGTTTCCAGACGTAAGATTATTCTCAATACATCAAGTCTTTCTTTACGGAGCTAGGTATAACAGTGAGCACCGCACCGCAAAGAGAGGCCGATAGTATGTTTTTTTTTTATTTTTTTTTTAAATAAAGAAAGGATCTATCTGTACAGCGTTGTCTATATTAATGTGCTGACATCGCTCCACAGACGGACCCTTTTTTTCTGAATTATTCATACGAAAAGGATAACACCGAGAAGTACATTTATAAGTAAAGTGTATTTTCCTATAAAGAGAATCTAATCCCTACCTAGTGGGACACGAAGTTTACAAATATGTAGGGGAGCTTAAAAACTAAGGTATTACAAAATATGTAGTATAAAAAATCAAGAGAGTACAGAAATGTATTTTACAAATGAATCCGAGAGAAAACTTACAATCAACGATCAATATTCTGTTTAAAAAAATATGATACACGAGACAGAGATATTACAGGAAAAAGTAGTGTTCCATTTGCAGGAAAAAAACTCAAGTCGGTCCGGACTAGAACTGAAAAGCAATCGTGCGAATCCCGTCCCGCCTATCGACACCGTTTAAGGGCTCAGCGACTGGATTATCACATTCATACGGTTAGATCCCGTACCGCCTATCGTCACCGTTTAAGGGCTCAGCGACTGGATCGAAAAAAAATCAGGAGCATACAGAATAACTCGAATAACTAGTAGCCGGACTTTAATTGAAGACCGAGATTTCTTTCCATGATCGTGTCGAAAATGAATCCTACACAACCGTGTTGAACTTCATAGAACATGTATTGTCCTAAAGTAATATCGTCATAAAACTTGTCATGCAGGACATCGTCAGGACACTTCATCCCAAACAGTTTTGTCTGGACAGCGTGTTTGTCGTATTGTGCAGCTTCATATTTTAAAATATCACAAAGTTTGTCGAAAATGAATTGAAGTTTTCTCTCGTCAGCTAAACATCTTTTAATACAACAGTTGATGCTGGGTATAAGGTCCTTGAAGGTGGTCCATGTAGACTCCGTGATGAAGATTTGACGAGCGTAGAATCCAGGAGGAGCGAGAGTTTCCCCGATGACCACGCAGCTTTTGTCCTTTATTTTAGTGAACTCCAGTGACCGTCTCACAGATCCAAGCATTATATTGGGGCGAGGCACATTATGCTTGAGGTAGAGATCGATTTCCGGCACGTTGGCGACGAGCTCATCCCATTCGTTGGGTTCTAGGTCGATTCCGTTCGGCACATCGGTATGTTTCAGAATTTTGACGCAGGTGGAGAAATTCGGATTTTGACGATTACCGACGATGATTTCCTTCGCTCCGGACCGTGTGAGGGAAAAGGAGTTGTTCATAATGGTGGGTAAGATCAGCTCACGAGGGAATTCCAACTTTTTGTGCGATGCCATGGTGAACGGAAGAAACAACGCGGGCACAGAAGACGCGACAGGTCAGCAGACAAGAGCAGGACTGATCAAGCGCGGAGGGTGCAAGAATCTCAGTGGCAAGGTCTCCATCCCCACTCCGCTCTCGCGACCCTCCCCCCTCCCCCCACCCGTGTATCTTACCCCTACTAGGTGTCAAGCACCCCCCTCTCTTTTTTACAGTTTCCGACAACAGCACGATTGAACCCCTCCACTAACACCACCAGAGTGGGGGTTATTCTGGAAACATCGATTGATTCTTTTCAATAAGATGGTATCGTTCTTTCGAGGAGGGCCCGGGAAAATGTTGAGAAACTGGTACATAGAGTGTCCGTTTGCCCGAAAATGGATGAAGAGAAGGCAATACTGACCGCATACTGAAGTGTTCAGACTTTGCAGCTCTTTTGGATTGAAAGTCCATTTTTTACAATTTTTCTGCAGAAAGTTCCTATGAGATTTGACGGTAGGTGGTAACCCGTAACTGTCGAAGTACTCGCCGTTCCTTTCAGAATCAATGAAAATAGCTATCCAATGGCTACCAGGCTTGGAGTCAGGATCGGTGTTAACAATCATGCCACAGGGTAAAGGCGTTGCGTTCGGGAGAGTGTTGGCTGCGCAAACCATTGTAGGAATCGGGAGTGTCGCCAGACCCGCAGCCAATTGAAGGGTGTTCATAGTGATACAACCAGTGTTTCAGCGCTGTCACATCAGCGAGAGCGCATCTGTAACCACTGCGTTTAAGCAAATTATGATGGAAACAATGGAGCTGTGGTTTGGTTAGATTTCTGACGGACGGGCAGTTCAGTTCCTCTAGATTAGTGACGGCTAGTCCTAGGAGAGTTGAGAGAAACAGTGTGATTTCACTCCCTTTCGCGTAAATGGATGTAGCCCGATCGGCGATTTCACGGACAGATCGGAGCCATTCCTCATACTCGATGTCACCATCGTCCCATTTCAAACCGTGAAAATCGTGGGTTAGATGACTGGCCTCCCTCCTCCGACCAGAGTCCAATTCCGAATATTCGAAGGGAGGTTTGACGATCCAGTGACGGATAGCTTCCTCGTCTACACTGGAGATCGCGCACTCTTTCACTACAAAGCGATTTGAGTTTGATTTAAAACACTGGACCGAAATTACGAAACGCATCTTTACTGCACGGCGTACTAGCTAGGAATGAATGCACTGGTAGAGTCTCAACCACTTTTATTTACGCGCCAAAATCAACTATAACATTCCTGTTCCTATCGATCTCGACAACGTTGTCAAATTCAGCATAACTTACGATGGTCACCGCGTTAGCAAGAGCGGCTTTGAATCTGAGTTCCAGCCTCAGATTGCCATGTCGCACTAGACTCCAGTGGGATTTTACGTGAGCCTCAAGATCGGGCGTAAAATCTAATGCTATCAAGGCGTACCCTTGTTCGTAGTCTGATCTGGATATCTCATTGCCGGAATCAGAATAATGGATACCTGTGCCTGAGAATAGAGTGTGGTAGGCTCTGATGTACTCGTTGTTATCAAAATCGGGTGTCAAGATCATACCGGGTATCTGTTGACCGTCGACGTGGAACGAGACATAGTTCATGCCGAATGTTTCAAAGTTGAAAGGGTTAGTCGTTATACTGCCTGTGAAAGCTGCATTGGTGACCAAACCTACAATAATTCTCGTTGGTAATTGCCCATTCACTAAATTGTCCAATGACGCGCTCTGCACACCGGCGGCGATTGTGTTGGTTCTGACATCTACTCTGGTGATGGGGTATTTGGCAGTGGTTTTCTCTAGAGCTCTAGCGTGATTCAGGAGGATGGTCGGAGAAACCTTCACACGGCGTACATAGAGGGTCGCCTCGATGATATTAATTTTGTAATCGTTGGCGTTCGCAATGAGACAAAAAACGTCTCGAGACCTGACAAATTTCAGGCGCAGCTCCACTCCGTTGAGCAGGTATTTCTCTTGATTGAACAAGTCCCCGTGAACTTTTCCAATCATATCGACAGTCTTACTGCGCTTCGTAAATGCGCGGCGCGCTTTCAATCCAGCGCTATCCGCAGCATCCATCTTTCCAGGCTCATCCTTAACCCAAAGGTTACACGTCACATGAGAATTCTTAGCGGCAGGGCCGTAACTGAGCAAGCTCTCAAGGTAGCTCCTGTAAGGATAGGCGTTGCTCGGGGACGAGACAATTTTCTGGTTTAGATATGTGTCAACCTGGCTAAACAAAGAATGAAGCCAGTTGTTCACAGGGCCTACAATGTCGTCGTCGGCTGCGGCCAAAGCCGCGCCGTCCGCTTTCTTGACTATTTTGGCTTTGATACCGAGTAGTGTATGGCTCAAGTCAATGTACTCATCGCCTTGCCCGGGAACTACGAATTCCAAACTTGAAGATTCGTTAACGGATGAAACAGGCTTGTACTGAACCCATCCTCCGCTCTCAATGTGCGTTTGTGTAGGCGGCAGGCTGAACAGATCGAGTTCGGATTTGGAGCAATCGCAACTGTTGGAATGGACAAACGCCATGGTTCTTAAACCCCGAAAATATCAGCTTTGCTTCGAATCACTTTTTTACCGCGTTTCGCTTTCCCTGCTTTCTTACTACGTTTCACTTTTTTACCACGTTTTGCTTTACCACGGCGGCCTTTTTTCACGGACGTCTTGTTTTTACGAGAGCTCCGCTTCGACTGAGGCGACTTGCGTTTCTTTTTGGCTTTATAGCCCTTACCACGAAGGACTGCATCTAAAGCTTTTCTCTTCATGTTTTGTTTGAAATCATTGAATCGTCCTTCAAAAGCTTCTTTAGGCGCAATGTTCTGTTCCAGATCGCCCATAAAGTCTGCTCCCGACTGAAATAGCTCTTTACCGAGCATCTGAGCGCCACGCTTTAAAACTGGCAATGACGCGCGAAACAACCCTTTGAGAAAACTGCCGATACCATGACCCCGCTGGTGCGGCGAGCCGCGAAACACCACGATATTGCCCGCGCCGGTTTGGTAATACATTAGCTCGGCTACTGAGACACTTTACGAAAATGAAGCTTAACGTTCAACTGTCCACTAGCGAATGGTACATTTTCACCCAAATCATCCCTTATATCCACTTCGATACGGTTAAATTCTCTTTTCATGAGAGGAATATAATGGGGATGAGTGAAAGTGTATGAAATCTGCGCTCCGGGCATTTTGCCGTGCTTTCCAACGTTTATGATCCGCAACAACGGCGCTAGAGTATCGCCTACCGGCTGCGGCTCTATTATATCTGTGTAAACGTACATATGACTCGGAATGAGAGCGTCTAATCTAGCGACGTCAACCCCTTCGGTTGTACCGAAGAGATCCTTCACAGGCATATGGAAGATTTTCTGGAGCAGAGGACTGAGGGTCATACAAACGACTTTAGGTTTAGGCACAATACGAATCCTACCGTTATTAATCAAAACATCACCTATCATAGAAAACTCTTGGTTATTTTTCATTTCTCCCATTAGGCTAGTGATTTCCTTGTACGGGCCGCCGTTGAGGTGTATCACTCCCGTTTCCCCAGGGTCCTCAGGCGTCTCTGCCCCTTGAACTTGGGTGTTGCCATTCGCGATGACAACGCGAGGTGTGGGTTTCAGCCGATACCTTACCCATAATTCCGACGAACTAGTATCAAACGAGATGGGATAGTGAATCTCGACCAAACCACATTCCCAGTTTCCTTGCAAACTGATACGTTTCGCTAATTGGGTATTGAAACGGGTAATTTTGTTATCAGGGAAAATATCCATGGAGCTGTTGGAAGGTAATGTCACAAAAAAATGTTCACTCATGACTGGAGACTCACTACTTCACTTTCAGGCACCCAAGAAGAAAACTTACTAGGCCAACCTTTCCAGCTGACGAGAACTTCAGGAATGCCCTTTCTTTTACGTTGATCGAGAATTTTATCTATTTTGTAAGCCTTAGATTCGTCAATTCGCACTGGCACGAGTTCAAATTCGTAAAATAACCCGTCAATCTTTTCTCCACTCAAATCCTCGAGTTCATAAACGGGTATCGGTCTCCGGACCACCCTTATGATTTTGAAGATTTCCTCCGTAAAATATGTGTCGTAGCCGTGCTCAAAAATGGTACGCTTGCGAGCGATTCGCACGTGCATGCCGACCTTTAACCTTGGCTGCATCACCGGTTGCCTACCCCTGTACAAATTTTTCCAAACTTGCAGTACATTTGTATCGTTCACATCGATAGGGCGCATTTTGATGGATGAGTGAACTGTATTATTATAGCTGTTTACCAAATCATCAAGAACATCGATATAGCGATAAGAATTTTTATAGGTTAGGTAGCGCCACATGCGCCCTTTAAGAGTCCTGTTAAACCGCTCTATCACCGCGGCTTTGACATCGGGATTTCGCGTCGTGTAGAAATTGATTCCATTATTTTTAAAGAAATTCTGACACGCTGCTCCCGTAAACTCGCTACCCTTATCGCTTTCCAAGTGATATGGCCGCCGACCTTCGGCTAGAATACTTTCGAACGCCTTAATTATTTCAGTATTATGCTTAGATTTCAACGGTCTTACCCAAGCGTACTTACTCAGGACGTCAATACATGTGATCAAATAATTGTAACCATCATTATACTTTCCGATGCTTCTCATGTCACAAAGATCAACTTGCCACAGCTCGTCAATGTTGTCGACATTGTATCGGTTACGGGGGAATTTTTTACGGGCTAACCTATGCAGAGTATAAGTATCCTGTGCTGCCAACCAATGCCTAACGTTTTCCAACGACTCTCCTGAGGCTTTGGCTAGTTTAACCACGCTGGAGAAACTCGCGGGGTTAGCAGGATCATAATAAATTTTTTCCATCTTCTAATTTTAATTAAAATTGAAAGGCTCCCAAAACAACTTTTTACGTACCAGAATGGCCTTATGATTTTTAGGATAAGGATCCGAATGTACTTTTTTGACCCTCCTGTGGACTATCTTAGAAATTGAAGGCTCACCTTCCGCTTCAGGTCTGGGTGCACGACCAGCCGACTCAGGTGTTAAAGTTCTAATAAGGTCCCAACGCGACGGATTCCCAATAAGTTCCTGTGGGATATTCAGTCTCGAAAGCTCACGATAAAACGGCTCGTATCCGGTCGGTTGACCGGTATTTTTACGTTTACGCACTGCATCGTTTAGTAAATCGACGATGTTCGACCCTGGGATGGAATTATCCCCTATAGCAACCTTACCCGTTCGGTCCCATCGTATTTTGCCGTCCCGCTTTAATCTTTGTAGCAAAACTGAGGCCTTAAGACGGTATGTTGGTGGAACTGTCGCTAAAATATCTGTTTCCAACGCAGAATCTCCTTCCTCTTCTTTGGGCTCCCCGCCCCCCTCATCCCCATGCCTACCGGAGTCACCACTCTCGTACATCAATTTCAATGGTTTACGTCTCTGCTCAACAAATTGTAAGCAGCGCTGTAGAACTTGCTGGTACTGCGCCCATTTTTCAGAGTCGGTCATGTTTGAAGAGCGAAGGATTTGAGACAGCTCCTTATGCAGATTCTCCAAAGGGTCTGCAGAAACTGAAGCGTGCTTCAATCTCTCAAAACTCTCCGAAGGGACCAAAATCATTTTCTTAGCATGTTCCATCTCGTAAAACTTAAGATTCAGTAGGTAAGGTAAGGTAAGGTTAGGTTAGGTTAGGTTAGGTTAGGTTAGGTTGGGTTAGGTTAGGTTAGGTTAGGTTGGGTTAGGTTAGGTTGGGTTAGGTTAGGTTAGGTTAGGTTAGGTTGAGTTATGACAGGGCAGATGAAAGGACTGCACTCAGGATAGGGCCTAAAAGTAAAGGAATGAAGTTCCCACCTTTCTGCAGTAAGATTTTTTTCTTGGACTTCCACCCCCCTTTTCTAAGTGCCAAATTTCTCAACAAGACTTTATAAGTACTCAACTTTTTCTTTTCTTCAGATTTAAGAGGGACTCTACCTTTCAGCAAATTTAAAGAACACTCACAAATACACTTTACCAATTGTTTGTCTGCCTCCTTTAGTATAGCTAGTCTTTGCTTACGAGAAACTTTCAAGAGAGCCTGCAGCAAGTGTGCATGAGCCTTCACCTCTCGCGTCATTTTTAATACTGATCCTAACAAACGAGAGACAGCAATATTTATGGACTTATTTTCGAGGTACATAAACTACCATACCGCCGTCTTGAGGAAAAATCAGGGTACGAAAACGCAAATGCTCTGGAGTGTTTTGCTTCAAATCAACCAGCAAGTAACCATGAGCTTCTTTTGTGCTATCAGAGAAAGCCTCCTGCAAAAATTTAGAGTTCTGAGGGCACATTTGCTGAGCGAGGAATCTGATTTGCGTCTTGTCTCTTGGATTTTTGAACAAAACTAAATAGTGAGAATTTAAACTCAAGTCACGCTGGTTTTTTCCTTTATAAAAAATATTTTGAGTTATGAAAAAAATACTAATATTTTTATGATGACACCCCCTCGAAAATAAGTCTACCAAAACACTACTGTTCCCTGATTCTCTCATCAAATCATCAAGAATGATGAGAGTTGGACCTTCGGTATCAAAGTCTGCGTCTGGCAGTCCTTGCACAAATCGTATGTTAGGAATATCTAAATCAGGATGCCATAGACTAAAGTGCCATATTATATCAGAAAATTCAGTGTCACACATTTCTTTCAAATTGTCTAGAAATTTTAAAACGAAAGTACTTTTCCCACTATAACTGGGTCCCGAGACAATACAGGCCCAAGGATGGCTCCACTTTGAGCACATGTTGATGACTGACTTTCAAAAAAAGAGGTTTTCAAATATATATTTGATAGAAAAAATAAAATGAGAACAAGTACTTTTTTTACACTTTCAAAAATTTTCAAGTTTTATTCACAAAAAAATTCGAAAATTTGACCCACAAAAAACATCATCTCAACACAAAAAAAGGAAATTCTCAATAAAAATATCACGTATGCAACATCAATTTCAAATTTCAAAAACTTTGAAAAAAAAAATGTCTACAAAATTTAAAGATCAAACCAGAGAAGGTGTCGATTAAAATTGATGCAAAAAAAATGAGAGTCAAAATCACAAATGAAAAATATATTTTTAGTTCAAAAGTAGGAAAAACTTTCAAAATGTCCAAAGAAAGTAAGAAAATTCAAAATATATAATGTAAAAAATATTTTAAAATAGAGATTTTTTTTTTACAAATTTACAAAAATGAAAATCTTACAAACTAATAGGAAAAACTTAACCTAATTGTTTGTCAAGTATCTAAAACTTCGAGTTCCCCAGTCCCGACAGTTTACAAAACAGAAAAATTGCAGATTAAATTAGTTTAACTGCGATGATACAAGATTTTGTATGACTAGTCTGTGACATCACTTTTATATCCAAAAGGCAGAGTCAAATGTGGTTCTTCGGCCAGTCTTCGTCTTTTTGTATACACAACCTTGTATTCTTTTTGCTCAGAACGAGTAACAACCTCCCACCCTCTTTTTCGTGCAATTTTGTGTGGGATTGGAACGA